GTAGTTCAGCATAGAGATCCTAGGTCTCTAACATAAGTACAGGGCTCAGGTCATGGATGGACCTTGAAGAGATTTTCACATACCCATTTTTAATGCATCTGTCCATGAATACATATTGTAAATATAAACAATGGAACAGCATTTATATTTATGGAACAATGGAACATTAGGCCCTTAAAAAGAAGGAAATATGTTTGCATGGATGAACCTGAAGGAAATTATACAAAATGAAATAAGCCAATTACAAAAAGTAAATAACAGATAATTCAAACATATACATGATATCTAAGCATGATGGTTGCCAAGGGACTAAGAAAATGAAGAGTGGGCTTAATGGGCATAATGATTCAGTACTGCAAAATGATACAGTTCTGGAAAACTTTCACAACAATGGATTATATGTATCATATTCAACAGTTCTAAACTGTGCAATTAAAATGGTTTATGCTATATTTTTCTCAATTATAAGGTTTAAAAATATTTTCAAAAAATGTATCATTAAAGAACACTGAAAAGAGCTGGATGCTAGTTTTGTACTAGGAAGTACACAAAACAGTAACACACAAGCCTAAGAAAGTATAAAATTCTAGCAAATCTCATTTCCTGTTCTGGCACCCCCAAATTCTCTACTTTATGTCCCTCAATGTTTCCTAGCAAATATCTGTGCCTACTATATCTTGCATTGCTCCAAAAGTCTTTAAGGCAACTCTCCTCAGCACGAGCATCATGGTCATAGTCAAAGCCCTTGCTATCTTGGCATGTTGAAGGCAAACAAATGCGTATTTCTTTTTCTAAATTGAAACCATTTATTTCTTGTTGCCTCAGGAAGGAAAGAGGAATGAAGGACTAAGGTTGCAACTAATCAAGCCTATAGAGCTAAATGCTGGTTTATGCAACATGAAAAGGTAATCCCATCCAAAAGCTGCCAGGCTCTCCTTTATTAATTTCATCCCCTGCTTGCTAAGAAATATCCTGCAGGCAGCTTCACAGATCCTTAGTTAAGGAGAACAGCTTGGCTTGTGTTGGCTAAATTGCTCTGGGTATTGCTTGCTTTGCACTTTTTTGAATCTGGGACTGGGTAGCAAGATGAAGGGTAGAAGGATACTAGGATGCTGGATGTCTGGGACCACGCAGCACAGCTTGAAAGAAAGGGGCTCACCACAGGGAAGGGCTCACCTCCTCGGAAGAGGGAGTCCATAGCCCATGCTAAGTTGTTAGGAGTTCACAATATTTTTTACTCTACAAGCTACCTATCAGCCAGAACATCATGATAACAAGAGATATATGGTATCATGCCAACATGGTGTGCTGCTTGCTCGTTCATTTGTGTGTGTGTTCATTCACTCCGGACATTAACTCTAGTGAGATGTTAAATACTCATGGAAAATGCAGGGCAGCTCATCTATGGTACAGAATCCTTTCCATCTTTAGAAAGAGCCTGGCTACTGGGCCAATAATACACCGAGTACATTCCGCAATTCACCTGGGGACAGTTATCTCAATGGAACAAATTAGTGCTCATTCACAGGGGGTGACAAGAACAATTCCAGCTTCACTTCCTAGCTTTATGTATTTCTAACCTAACAAGAGGAAAATATCTGCTTATTCATTCCCTTTTAACAAATGGGGTCTGCTGTACTCAGAAACATCCTACCATTCTCCCTATTTTCTCCAGATTCCAGTTTTGATTATAGGGACAAGGAGTAAGAAAATCCAAGCTAGCAGGTCAGCCCAAGGGCATCTTCTCTGGGCACCAAAGTGACCCCACTCACAGATGAGAAAGAATGAGAGATAATGGATAGGTGATATGCTCCCTCTCTAGTGGTGGTGGTCAAGAATATGAAAATTAAAAACTTTTAAAAACAGTTTTGAGTTCCCTGATCCCAAGGAAGACCAGATTCTCTGTAGAGAGAACCACCTTCCATGAATGTGAACAAAGCCAAACAAGGGGAGTCAGCCTGAAAGGGAAGGGAGGTGAACAGGCCAAGGGACAGGCGGGTTATCCTGTGCATCACTCACTTCTGCTAGCTAGACATGGCCATTTTAAAAAACAGAAATTCAGTGGGCTTCTGGACAGCGCCTGAGTCCATAAGAGTATAATAGAGGAGATACCATAACTGGTAAAGGGACATGACAGGGAATAGTTCACATATTTTAAGTTTTCACCAAAAGTTCATTTTTTCCCCCAGATTAAGAAATGATGTCACTAACCTGACAGACCAGATCCTCTAGATTGAAGCCATCTGCTCTCTGGTGGTCAAACATTTGGTTTTAATCTCCTGAGGTTTTATGACACAGCCTCTGACCAGAAGAGAGCCTGGGGTAGGCCCGAGTGTTAGGATGTCTCTGGCAGAATAGACTGCTGGGAAGCTTGCATTTAGGGAATGTCTGCAAGGGTACTCTCAGCACCAGGGCCCAAAGACTGCCAGCTTGTTCACTCAGATCCCAGCTCATACCTACCTTGTTCTCTTTTCCACTGCCTATAAGGTATAAGCTTGGTATTACACTGAGACAGAATGTATGTGGGCAAAACTGGACAGTAAATCACTTTATGGCATAGATTCAAAAACTGCAAATTAGCTTCTGAGAGAAAACAAGGATTTAAGAAATAGAAGGAACCAACACTGAGGTAAGAAGGTTCCTCAGTGGGCTGGTCAGTGGCCAAATGCCATGTGGCCCATGTCACAACCTATACTCCCTGGAAGCTGCTGTCGGATGCTCTCAAAGAAAACTGTAGGCTGCTCAGTGACAACAGAGACACATGGGTCAGGAGCTGGCACTAAAACCAGGACGATGTGTCTGGATTGTCACCCCATGTAGTGACATCTATACCGGTCAATCACAGATCAGATTTCCCTGTAATCTATGTCTGTATGTCTCTCTTTTGGGAAATCACAAGACCTTGGAAAACATAAATTCAATTAGGAAAATTAAATAGCAAATATAAGCAAAATAATCCAGCTTCCATTAGCCCAGGTGACAGCTGCAGAATCAGCAAGCCAGAAGCCCAACTCCCAGAGTCTTTCTGTCACTGAGCAGACTGTCACCCGGGATCCTTGGGAAGGTAGCAACAGTCGTCTTCAACTGAAGGCACTGTTAAGAAAATATGTAAATGAATGGAACAGAGCCATGCTGTTTTACATAACAGCAGCAGTGAAGTCCTAATATTTTCACATACTATTCACAAGTCTGTGTACTAATCTTTTTGAACCAAACCATCAGTAAATTAAGAGTCTTGTGTAGGCAGATTATACAATCAGGTCAGATGCTGCAGCCTGGATCTTCTCTCTGAATGCAGCATTGAAGGTCAGTATTGTGGGAAATCCAAGTTCCAGAAACTACTCCAGAGAGAGGGACGCATGACACAGAATCCATTACGGACACCCAGACACTGGGTTCCCAGAGAACAGACTCCCGTGCTCTCACAAGAGCAGCTGGAGGACTGAGCACAAAGTGAGTGCCCTACTGACCAGAAGGAGGAAGGCTGTCCAGCCACTTTGCTGAATCTCTGATGATGAGAGCGCCCCTAGGACACATCCTCTCACCTCCCTCTCTTGGGCGATTCTCCACTGTTTGCTTCTCATCAGTCATGAGGCTTCCTTCAAAACCTTTTCATTTTCCCTCCTTCCAAGAACCCATCTCAACTCTCACTTTCCCTGATGATGCAAACAAACACACCCTCCCTGGCCTTTCAAACTTGCACAGCACAAAAGTCTAAACCCTCAGATGGACCCTCCGGCAGTTTCTTCCAAAGGCCCTTGCATTACTTAATTCCTGAGCAGCATATGGGAACACATTTGTTGGTGTCACACAGTTTGAAGGAGAAGATTCTCCTTAGCCTGCTCACCTAGAAGATATTTGCTGAGCCTTTACAAAGGCAGAAATCACGTTTCATTCTTCCTCCTTCCCCCCATGGGCCACTGTTCTTTCAATGCTGAACTTCTGTATGTGTGGTTTCTATTTTAAGACAAAGTCAAGATTTCTAGGATATAAAGACTCAGCAGGATTTAATCTATTATTAGCTTCTTCTTTTTTTTTTTTTGGTGGTACCAGGGATTAAACTCAGGATCTTGTACTTGCCAGGCAAGCACTTATTCTACTAAGCTATCTCCCCAGCCCATTATTAGCTTAAAGAGGGTAGGACATGGGTAAGTAAAGATGGGGAGAGGGAGTATCACCCCATTCATATGACTTCAAATAATCATAGAAATAATCATTTCTATCTCTGGAAAGAAATGCAGAGATAGTGGCTCAAAACTTCATTAAAGGGTTGGGGATGTAGCTCAGTGGCACAAGAGCCTGCCTGGCAAGTTTGATTCCCAATACAAAACAACACAATTCATTTGCAGCTATAGAAACTGAAAGCCAGAAAGGGACTATGAGTTTTAGTCATTCAGCTACTGGCAACATCTGATATAAATGCCAGTTTCCTGGTGGCCAGTTAACTATACTTTCTACCATGGCACACTGCCTTGGCCTGCCTAACACACAGTTATATATCACAGTCCTTTCAATTAGCCTGGGATTCTGAAAGGCACACAAACCTCAAGAATGATCATACAACACAAATCTGTATAGCACAGGGCAAAATTACAACATTAAAATCACCACCTTGACTGATGGTATAGTCAAAGAGTTGGATGGCTGACAGAAAATGTAATTGAGACACAACACCTGATGGGAACTTCCAATATGAGGGTAGGCAAGTCATTTCCTTTCTGGTCCTCAGTTTCCCTATACTAAAAATGAATGCATACTGGGTTTTCGAATGGGGAAATTACTGGTGCAGTTATAGGACCTATTTTTTCTTAGGTTTATCCTCCATATTGTAGGATACCTAACCTCTCTGGTTGCAAGCCAGTAGTAACCTCAGCCATCATGACAAATAAAAATGCGCCCAAACATTGAAGCTCTCCTGGTTGCAAAGCACTAGGAAGCCCTTGAGGTTCTTGCGATCTCTGAAATGTCTGCGAAAGGTGGGAGGAGTAGAGCAGGCCTACCCATAGATGTCCAGGACCCCGATGAAGGAGTGCTGCTTGAGGGAAGTGTGCAGTGCCTTGTTGATGTGTTCCACGATCCAGTTGAAGAGTTTGGCATAGATGTGTTTAGCCAGGGCATTGCGAGCGTTGACCACCTGCTGCAGGGACATGGTCTTGACATAGGTCTCTGAGGTGGTGACCAGCTTGCGATGGCACAGCCAGTGCTCCATTTGGCTGTGCTCCACTCCCAGCAGGTGGCAGAAGTTGCTTAGGTGCTCATCCTGGGGCTAGGATGGGAGGGAAGATAGGTTCAGGTAAAACACAAAAGACAAGGCGTTCCCCCGCCTTGCCTGACCATAGGGACAACAAGACAAACCCAATGCTTCCCAGAATTCTAGAACCCTTTATTCTCCAGCCAAGTGACACACACATGCACACAACTAGGTAGAAAGCCTGATTGTGTTGTTCAAACTGATAATCATACCTAATGAGGACTAAAATTATCAGGGATTTCAAAAGAAAGCATCACCATGCTCCTGTCCCTTCCCCTGCACTGCCAGGCTGCTGCTGAGTAACAGGCAGAAGAGGACTGCCCAGGAGAGCAGAATAAGAATTGATAGCTGACAAATGGATAACCCACCCAAGGACAGCAAGCATACACTGAACCCACAGCTTGTATCTCTAGACATTCACACATAGTGCTTAACTACAGTCCAGAAAATGCTTTTCTTCCTCTGTCTCTGGCTCAGGTCTACCTCGCTAGATGCCTGAAATGAACCTCAGATTCTAAGGTTTGGGAGCACCTCCAAGGCATTTGGCCACCCCCCCTCCACCCCCAGACTTCAGTAGAGCAACATGGATAGAGCAGAACAGCAAATATCTTCTAGGTGAGCAGGTTAAGGAGAATCTTCTCCTTCAAACTGTATGACACCAAGAAATACGTTCCCATCTGCTGTGGCAAGAAACAGACTAAAGCCCAGTGGGCACCAGCCCCCCAGCACTGACTGCCCATGATCCTCTGCTTCCAGGCACCTTCTCTTTTGCCTTAGTGACACTGACACATAACTGATCTTTGTTTACATTCTTTAATGCATGTCTTAGTTACTCTTCTCTCGTTGCTGGGACAAATACCCGACACTCAAAATGAAGGAAGGAAAGGTTTATTTAGCTCACAGTTACTGGAGGTTTCAGTCCATACTCAGCTGGGTCTAAAGCAGAGCAGCACA